TTAAAAGGAATTGGGTGTCAGGGTAATATCTGTATGCAAAGATTTTAGAATAAAAAGTGGTGTGCATGTGCAAATGTTTAAAGACATGGACAAAAATTAAAGTTGTTTTATTGTTGATATTGTTTCTTTTCCTTAAATGAGCATAGCTGTTACAACTGGGATGAGGTATAGAGTGGGGCCCTCTGGGCTCTGAATAGCAGTGTGTAAATAGTTTTAGGGGATTTTAGGCTATTTCTTGTCTGGATATTGTCTGTGGTAACATTTATAACCCAGTTAAAGTAGATGTTACATGTACTGTATACACTCTCTGGTTAAATCAGCACAAAGTAACTGGATGTGCATGTATGATACAAGCAGCAAAAACTTGGACGAGTTGGTTGGGTTTCTATTTGCCTTGGCATTGTTTAACAGTTTTGATGAAGTTCCCTAACAAATCTGTAACTTTTGGGGATGTGCCAAAGGACTAAGGAAACAGCTTTATTTACATCAGTATTTAAAAATGCTGCATGGCATGTCCCTTTTAACTTCAGGTCTAACTTTCATCCCAGGTAAAATCAAAGGATAATTGAACACAAGCTTTTGTGTCTGAAAGCTCATCTTTTTTCCCCAACTGTGAGTTGATCTGATAAAATACACTATCACTGCCTACAGATCAAGCCTATCGTAATTTATGCCATTCAGCATAGCTTTTGGGAGCTTGGGTCATAGTCAACAAATGTGTTATGATGGAAATGTATTATGATGGAATCAAATGCCTTTGATAAAGGAACTAAGGCAGATGTACTGTTTTGTTTGGGGTTTTTTTGGTATAAAGTATACCTCTGTACAGTGTTTGACACCTCACATCCTCATTTTTGTGTAGTGCTGATCTGTTGTGCAGCATTTCTACATTAATTAGAGAAAAGTGTAATAGAAAAATTGAAAAGCAATGGAAATTTTAGACTGCTGTGGTGTAGTGTGGAAGTCCTAAGGAAAAGCTAATCTTCATTAATGGTGGGCTTACATAATTAGACGTAGACTAATTTCGTCTTTCTCTGTGAAAGTATTTAATGAAAACTTAAACCCCAAGAAACTTGGGAGTTAACTATTTATCGACAGTGCTGCATCATGAACATCAAGGCTAACAGAGTTTTGTCCTTGGTAAAGACATACCCCTAATTCTTAATTGCATTCGTATATCTAATGGGAAAAGAAGAATGAGAAAACCCCTAATTCTCAAACAAAAAAAAAGAAAGTAAAGAAATAGATAATTTAAGCTAGCCTCTCTTTACAGCAATAACTGATATTGCTATATCATTTCTTTATCAGAAAAGACTAAAATATATTCAAGGTTTCCAGAAAACCTGTTGTCACACATTAAGATAATAAAATCTATGTTTTTCCAAATTCTTCCCAAATATATAAATTAAGTTTAGTTCCAATTGGATTAATGTGTTCCACTACTCACTCATCTGCAAAAACTGTTAGCATTTTGATGTGATAAGGTCAAAGAGTGGAAGTTAAGTACAGTCTTTATTCTTAACATTTTAAAATAGTTTTGAAATTTAAAATAATCTGTAATTTAAAATAGTCTGTTTGGTCTTAGAAGCAAGAAAGAATTATTTAGGGAGTCTTGTGCAAGTAGGGAAATATATTTTAGTGGTCTCCACTAAAGAAACCTGAAGTCATCTCTTTTGGAGTGAGTTTTATATAGCATCTTCTTCGTGGCTGGATTCCACTGATAATGACACCCTGCAACAGCAACCAAAGGAAGTGGTTTTTAGCTGTATAATTTTTTCTGTGGAACTGACAGGTTGCTGTAGGAATATGGGTACTAGAGAAGGATGTGTGAATTTTGTGTAGCATGTAGATTTTTTATTATTACAAAAAAACACTGTGATTTTATCTTTTCCTTTTCCTTACAATTACATCTGTAGATAAGAAGCTAAGAAGTAGGAGTCATACGTGGAAGAAATTATTCTTCCACCCATTTTATCCAAATGTATTACAGACCTTTAGAGTCATGATTCTGAATTCAGCAAGTTAGGCAGGGCTAGGTAACAGCATGTTTTGTCATATGTTAAATAACTGCTCCCTGGATAGCTATTAAAAGTCAATAATACGAAGAATATAATAACATGTTTATTTCAGGTTTGTCCTTGAAATGTGGATCAAAGTTTACGTTCATTGTACAAATGAGTCATTGCAAGAATGAAAAGAGAGTAAAGGGTATCTCTACTTTATATTAAGTGTTTGTGTAGGTTAAGTAAAATTGTTTTATATATATATAGATATAACATTGTTATATTAATTGTTTTGCAATCCGGGGAGAAGGAAATAAAAATAAACAGTAGGTAAATAAATCCTTTTAGTGTTTCAGTCAGTGAAGAACAGATGGAAAGAAAGACCCTCCACAGAGTTTCCATCATAGCACTAATGGTCAAAATTTCTTTCTGTGTCTTGGACCATTTTTGATAGCTTTTACCTTTGAAATACCTTTATTTAAATCAACACAGCCTCTCCTTGTAAGTACTGATTTAGTGTTTTTTTAGATTAGGAGGGACAAGTTCTCATCTGGGTCCAGAAAGTGCTTTCTGAATGCAGTCCCTTTTGCTTAACCTATGGAACTCCATCTCTTGTCCATCAATAAATACGTATATTATAATTTCTGTGAATGTTTATTTCTCTCCCTGCAATTTTACATATCCCTGCATGAAGCAAGAAAGAGTTGTTTGAGCATCTTATTTTCAATACCGATACACATAAAATTTTATTATGGTGTTTTGTTTAAAAAAACATTTGTAGAACAAAATTTGTTGTGGTATTAGCTTCTTTCAGCTGTGTTTTAAAGATGCAGAATAGTAAAAACCTCAGTTCCTCAAATATGAAGGCTTCTTGGATAGAACTCTTGGCTTCTTTATCTTTTTCCTTCATATTAAAAGAAAATCTAAAAGGAGATTGTACCTGAACAAATTTAACACCATCTCCATGACAACCAGCTAATTAATCGCTATCGGTCTGGCTTTGGTCCTCTTCAGTGAACTGATACTCCCCAGCTTTATTTCACATATCTTCTGGGTTTTCTATGAAGGTCATTTATTTAGCGACAGTATTTCTTTGGGAAAAGCAGCCTTTTAATACAAGCAACAACTTTCTTTAAAAACAGCTCAGTCTTACCTGTGGTTTCCTCTCAGTTTTGCTTCCTGCACAGTAGTAGGGAGTTTTTGAGGTTGGGTTTTTTTTCCTTCTTGCTTTTCCTGGTATTTCCATTTTTTCTTTTGGCCATAAGTGTTTATTATGTATATTATGACTGTGACCACATTGCAGTACAGGTATTCCCAAGCTAAGTTTGGGACTAAGTAGTGTAGTAAGTAGGAGAAATCAATCCCCAGCAGTGTGATGTTTAGAGTGGGCTAAGAGCTCAGGTAGTTACTTTGCTTCTTGCAAAGTCTGAGCCTCTATCGCTGCATTACTATAAGTATTTGTATTTGCTGGTGTAAAGTCATAGCTATACTATCCTGCAGTCAAAGTTTCTGCAATGTTAGAGGTACTTTGAATCAATCAAGATACTTGCCACAGTTACTGCATCATTTTTGACATTATAAATGTGTTTAGGAGGCCTGGTAATTGTGTTGCAAGTAATTGCAAGCTTTCCCCTATGATAACAGTCTCCAACTGTGAACTGTAAGAACATACCGTCTGTAGATGTGAGACCAAATGCCCATATAGCTCAATATCCTGTCCTTCCTACCGGCCTCTCATAGCAAATACCTGTGATAGACTGCAGGGACAGGGAAAGGATGAGATGGTGCAGGATATTTTTCCCCTGAACATTTTCCCAATCTTCTGCTGTCTGTGGCTAAAGGAGTTCAAGGCTTGCAAGCAGTAAAAAGAAGAATGAAAGCTGAGGCTAGGAAAGAACAATAATTCTCTATCCTGGACATTTCTTGTATTTCTAAGTTTTCATTTTCTTTCTGGATGACTGTTCACTGCCTCTTAGAAATTAAATATGTTTATCCATATACATATACAAATAAATTTATACATGCTATGTGCTTACTATGGGAGGAGAGTGAAAACAACTGAATGTATCCCTCACTCCTGCAGTCTCTTTTTCACTGGCGCATGTTTAGTTCCAATCTTTGTGTTTTCCTGTTATGTCTCGTGGATGTATTAATTGTTTGAAGTTATTCCATATATTTACTCTTTGGGTGCCGTATTTTTTGCAGACAGTTTATGGGACACCTCGATTATCTCATGTGATTTAGTAGCACTTATGAGAGATGGATATTGATGTTCAGGTGTAGTTATGAACTCTATTGAAGATTAAAGTAGTAGATTGCCAAGAGATTTGTGTAGGAAAGCAATAGAAAAATCTATGTTTTGACTGAACGTTTTATATATTGAAAAAGTTGAAAGTACAGAAATACATATAACATGCTGTATGCTGGTTTTAAGGTGTGCATAAAACTAAAGAAAGCAAAAATGTTGTGGCAACTTCCTTATTTTTCTTCATAAGTAGCAAGCCAACAAAACAGATGCAGAAGGGCAAGATGCACTGGGAGAGGCTGGAAATAATCTTAGATAGTTTCCTTCATAAGCTGATTTTTAAATGTTTTTTTTTTTTAATCACTTTGTGGGCCTGCTGGAAGAAGTTACATCTGAAGATAATAGATATGGATATTTTACATAATAAAGGACTGGAGAAATGGATTTAAGTGGATGTTTAGTACTTGGGATTTGCACGAAGTGAAGTGGCGAAAGGAAACTTGCACCAACACCAATTCTGAGTTGGAGATGAGTTAGGCTGCAAAAGTGATCTTGAAGATGGGAAACATGTTCTTTGTGGTATTAGATTATGTCTGTTCTGAATCATTGTCTTTCAGCTACTTGTTTGACATTGTGATATATCTGCATATAGAATAACATATTAATGATTTCTTCTTTTTTCTTTCCTTATTTTTTGTTTGTTTGTTTTGTTTGTTCATACATGACATGCTACTGAACTGGTATGTATGAAGATTGCTGTGTTCACTGTATTCTGGCTTGCTTGTTCTGTGAATTTCTCACCCTCTGTAACATTGTTCTGGGACAAGCATCCTGTGGCATCTGCACATCGGAGGCCTGCTGCTGTTGCTGTGGGGACGAGATGGGGGATGACTGTAACTGCCCATGTGATATGGACTGTGGCATAATGGACGCATGTTGTGAATCTTCAGATTGCTTGGAGATCTGCATGGAATGCTGTGGGATCTGCTTCCCATCATGAAATATTTATCCCTTTTTATTTTATTCTCTATAAAACTGGAGAGCTTTTCTTTAAATACATTTGAAGAAAGACAAGGTAAGATTTTCACACAACCAACTGGTGTTGCACTGTTAATTCCCTATATATAAATATTTTTTTTAAAAGCAATCCTCAAATCTGTATTCGAACACAAATTGTATAGTTTTGTATGTGAAGCTACATTCCAGCTTCCTTTTGGCTTTGCAAATGGAAGACTTTACTGAAACCGAATTATAGGCCTGATACTGCGGGCTGTATGAGGGCAAAATTGCCATTCGAATTGAGTGACAGGTTTTGGTCGGAGAAGAGACTAAAGGGCAAAGCCTTAAGTATTTGCCTTCACCTAGTTTAATGTTTAAACGCTCAAATGCCCCCATGCATAACATGCCTTTACAGGCATTCTGAAAACCAAAATGTCTTTATTTCAATCTCTTTGGGTTGAAAGCAACTTTGCTCTGTTATTTTAAACTTAATTCAAAAGTCAGCATCAGGAATCTACTGTTGGTTTTGCTACAGTGGTCACATTGGCAAGATTTCTTTTGTTTTGAATTGTCTTACTAGTTTGTGAGAGATTCCTGGTATTTTCCATTGTCAATATTGATGTGACAGGAAGATTTGGCAAACTAAGTCAATGTAAGTTTTGCCATGGACTAGAGTACCAAGATTTTATTGTTACCAATCAAGACAGAATAGAGAACTTTTACATTTCACTTCAGTACTAATATTACTTGAAATGCTTCTTTTTAGAAAGAGACTTTGGAAATCTGTGTAGACATGAAATATATCCTTAAACTAACAGACTAACTAATAGACTAACAAATCTTCAAAATTTGGCTATAAAAGGGAAATTATCAGAAGTTAACTCAAGAATCTAAACCTGTACATTAGTGGCCTTGTCAGTGTTTGTGGCTTTACAGCCAGAATCCCATAACTTAGTATTTATTTCTTTGCTGTGTGAGAAAGATCCACAGAGGATGGCAGAATTTAAACAGGGTGTGAAGACCAAATTAAAACTGACTTGGTAAGGAATTCTGTCATTGAATGCAAAAAGCAAATGCAAAAATGTTTATTCTCAGATACATTTTAAGTATTATTTTAAAATAACTCTGTGAAAAAAGGACATTTTAAAAATGTATGATATCCTTTAAAAATAAAAGGAATATGATTTTAAATGTTTGAAACATACAGTTAGGATCCTGTGGGCAACTTTACCTATTACACCATTAAGGTTTTCTGAGAAATGTCTTTGTCATTATAATTGTGAAATTAATTTGGTCCAACACATAAAGAGGTTTATGGCATTCCCAGATTTAGGAAATAATGGTACCCATTTTCTTTACCGTCTGCTAGTTTCTCCCCTCCATGTCTGTAGCTCGTTAACTTTTCTGTAAACCACCTGTACATCTTGATCTCACATACTTAAACTTTCCCATCTACACTCCAGATTTCCCATTTGTAGATTGTTGGATCTCCTAAATTTAGGCCTTGTTACAAGAGTCATTGATAGCCAATAGCATATTTCTGTTGAGTGAATTGACCATAAATGTCTCTTTCCACTGTAGTGAATTCAATTTATGCAAATGTGACAAGCTAAAGATCACAGGAGTGTGAAGCTAAGTCAAGAAATGGTCTGATATTAACCAAAGCTTCTCACTGTGAACACTGACTAGTAGTGCTTACTACTGCAAGTTATCACTGAAGGTAACATAGCCAAATCCTCAACTATGCTAGGGAGCTGGGAGGTGTTACGTTTTGCCTTAACATCTGCAATATTGTGGTGTATTCTGATGCAATACAGATTTACTCAGAGGGTTTCTTATCTGTTTTTTGATAGTTACTACAAGAATTGATTCTTATGGGTTTTTTTTCCATATATTGGGCCAGATTAAGATCTGTGTTGCACAAATGAAGTGCATTTCCATTAATGTCAGAATATTCCATTGGTTTAGCTCCAGCTAGAGAGCACAAAGATATTATGGTAATAGGCAGGCTAATAAGGAATCATATAGTTAAATTGATAAATTCCCTGAGCTCAGAATCAGGCCCATGGGGCTAATTATGACTCCTAAAAGTCTGAACCACATTGGGAAGAGGGAATAGATGCCTTGGTTGAGTGGCAGTGCCTGGAGGCATTTTGCCTTTGTAAGGCATAATGCCTCTGGGGAAATTGAGGGCATCACAGTGAGCACTGGGACTTGATGCACCTTAGAAAAAGTGTAGACAGTGCTTTGCCCATTGTAGGTCTATGGTTGACACCGTGGTGGTGGGGACATGCTCTCTGGGGCTAGGCAGCACCATTAGCTGTCCTTCCTTGTGTCCTTCTGGTCACGGAGGGGATGGGGAAGAGGACTTCCAGTCTCCTGTCCTGCCCCGATGTCCATACCCACTCTAGGGAGTCCTTTTTCTGTGTAAAAGTTTATTTATATAGTTTGCTCTGCACAAACCCATGTTTCTGCTTACGGGAACTCAGAGGATTTTTTGGTTGATTGAAATTATGAAAAACTGGGAAATGTATTTACTATTAAGCATTTACTTCCAGTACTGTTAAATACAAATATTAAATACAGGAACTCTGTTCATGCATATATGCATATGTGTATAGACCCTCTCTCACACATGTGCACACACACACATTTGCAGATATACTATTTCTTTTCCCACTTCATTTGTGAAACACTGGGAAGTGAAAATAGTGTTTATTAGCCCTCATAGTGATTAGAAGTATCAAAGTATTATGAACAACTGAAAAAAAAAATTGTGTGATTTGTTTGACATTTAAATGTAATCTGCTACTACTTGTCATAGAGATATTAGCACTTTTGTAAAATGTATCTTTGTAGCAGGGAATATTAGTATGTAGTTAAAGGAATTCCTTTCTATATTTATATTCTTAAATTCTGTTCTGTAATTTTCACTCTATAGGTAATCTGTAAGCACCTTGTGTAATTAAAACAAGCAGAATTAGAAGGAGACAAATGTGAAGATATAGTTTAAATGAAGTTAAAACATCAGAACTTAACTGTCTGTTTTATGATAGTTCTTGTGAACTTGTACAGTGTTTCAGTATATAGTTCTGCAAACTGGCCCATTTGAAAAAATGGTAACTTGCTATTTGTATTTTATATCAACTGGATGTGCTATTCTCAAACACTATTTTGAAATAAAGATCTTTATTTTGAAACTTTGGGATATCTTCTTCCTCTAGTCTTGCCCTGTTACTCTTCTGAATGATAATTTCATGTCTTATTTGTGATTTTTCTGTTGTAACACTTACTGAAAGCTTTGGCCTTTGGGTGATTTGCACAGAGGGTGAGCCAGTGTAGGTGAGTTGTCTTACATAAGGAGCTAAACCAACTCAGGCACTGGAAGCTGTGCTAGCATGAATCTCCAACAGTAAAAAAAGTTTGTCATTAAGAGGGCAAATTAATTCCTTAGTGTAGTTGTATTAATGAGGTGGAATTCCAGTAATGATTAAATTCGATGAAAATGAAAATTATTGTAATACATCCGCTGCAACAGTCTTCAGTTTACTAAAAACAAGCTGAACACAGAGTGTAGTCAGTTCATAGTATTGCAGTAGACATATTAAGGTCTAATGGCCTTTGTGGCCTATGAAACTGAAGGCTTATACATTGTACCACTATTTTAAAGTAAGGTATGTTTTTAAAATCAGTTAGTGTAAACACAGATAGAGTAGACCGCTTCATCTGTCATTTAAGCAAAGATTTTTTTCATGTTGGCTTAAGCCGAGTGTGAACATGCCTATGCTACTTTAAAACTGCAGAAACTGCATGTCTACAGTCTTTTGCACTAATTTTTCTATGTCTAAACTGACAGAAATCTGTGCGTGAATGTGTACCATGAAGTCTTGCCGTTGAGACTGTATGCCAAACTTCTCTTAGAAAATAATTCTTCATGAAAGAGAACTAATAAAAGCAGAGACAAATAGCACTGTTTGAGACTTATTACAGGTGTTCTAGCTGGTATCTATAGTACATAATATTTCTAGAAAGAAAAGGCTTCTATGAAGAGGGATCGTGATCAACGTTTGGGAGATTTTGGATTTAATATTGACTATTTCAACTATAGTACTTGTGTTAAGAACTATTTGTTGAGTTTGGTGAATCATTGCTTTCATAAAGTAATCTTCTGAATGAAAAGCTTTTCTGAGCTGTTCACACATTTAAAAAAAAAAAAGTCTTAATGATGGCAATATTTGATGTATGTTCTTGGAGAGCAATGCCAATTGTATTGATGTATTTCCACAGCAAAGGTCCTTCTGTCAGCAGCGTTATAACTTTCTCAAAGGCAACAGATATATCTGAAATCTTACTCTTAGCCCCAAAATTAAATTAAAGGTTAGAGAAATATCTCCCTGGTATCTTCTTTCTGTCCCTCTCTCTGTCTATATGTGAGTGTGCACACCATGTGTTGGAAGACTTAAGGTAGTGTTGATGGTGACAGTAGTAGCCCTAGAATCCTACAGACATTGATCTTACCTTTTTTTCTACCTTCTAATTCTTCTGCCAGTTCTTTTAACTTCCAAAGAGAGCAGGGGGACCTTAGCTCAATTTTAGCATCAGGATATTGAAAGTAGTTCAATAAAAATTATACCCTGCACCCACTTCCATGATGCACTTGTTCACTGTGCTCAGTATACCCGAATGTGAAGTTGATTGCTTGTACAAAATTCAACCTCCTCATAAGCACTTGCTTACGCTATTTACCAGCAATTTGGTGCTAGTCACATAAAAGGATGGTCTTTCTCTTCGTTAGAAATCTTTGATGTGATGGGCTATTTCTACTATAGTTGGAAAGAGAGAAATTTCTCTGAATTTCCATTCTGCAAAACAGGCAGATGTTGAGTTTGATTGGGTGATCTTAATCTCTATATGGTTTTTAGTGTATCAGTTCACCTCACTTAAAACTTAATTTAATAAAACACTACATGCAATCCTGTTTGCCTCCTTTATGTATGTATGTATATTATAGCAATTGTTAGTACATTACCATTCAATACTCATAAAAATGGGATGTTAGGTGAAAGATTGTATAATAGCTTTTATACCTTTAATAGTATCTTACTAATTTTTATTCTGATATGCATATGCTATTTTAACTGACAAAATACTCCAC